AGCAGTATTCGAGGTAGTGTGGTTTAGTGTGCATCAAGGGCACTGCGCTCTGGTGTTTTTAAGACCTGGGACAGTCTTGCGCACTTCCTCCCTGTCGCGTATGCCCTCTCAAGTGGCCAAGACCGCAAGTGTGGGTATTTGTACAAGGCACAAGTCCACCACCCAGGTTAAGAAAAAGTACACTTCCATAATGTACTTAAAGTGCTCTATTTTCGCGCACTAATTATGTACTTAACATACTAAAAATGATTTTTTAAAGATAAACTTAAGGACATCTAAGTGTACTCAACTGTGCTATTTTGGGACACCATGAAAATGAACTAAAATGCGCTTTTAACATACTCTCTCTTTGTATTTAAAAAATGTTTTTAGTCACTACTTGTAGTACACTTGAGTGTACTAGTGTGTGAAAGATGGGTTCAAGTGTACTACAAGAGGTAACTAAATACATTTTTAAATACAGAGATAGTATGTTAAAAGCGCATTTTAGTCTCAAAAAGCACAGTTGACTACACTATCTTATCTTAAGAAGTGCTAAAGAATCATTTTTAGTATATTAAGTACAATATTAGTGTGCGAAGATAGAGCACTTTAAGTAGCTACATTATGGAAGTGTACTTTTTTAAAAACCTGGGCCACCATCCACCGCCAGCAGAGTCTGTTTTTCTTCCAAAAACCATCAGTTTCCCGCATAATGAATAATAATAACTGATATGCCTGACATGATGATGAGGCTCCAGGTGAGAAGATATACAGGTGAGTCTTCAGTGTCAAAACACCTGACACACGCATTCATCAAAATTCTCCAAAACTAAAATGCGCTTTTAACATACTCTTTGTATTTAAAAAATGTTTTTAGTCACTACTTGTAGTACACTTGAGTGTACTAGTGTGTGAAAGATGGGTTCAAGTGTACTACAAGAGGTAACTAAATACATTTTTAAATACAGAGATAGTATGTTAAAAGCGCATTTTAGTCTCAAAAAGCACAGTTGACTACACTATCTTATCTTAAGAAGTGCTAAAGAATCATTTTTAGTATATTAAGTACAATATTAGTGTGCGAAGATAGAGCACTTTAAGTAGCTACATTATGGAAGTGTACTTTTTTAAAAACCTGGGCCACCATCCACCGCCAGCAGAGTCTGTTTTTCTTCCAAAAACCATCAGTTTCCCGCATAATGAATAATAATAACTGATATGCCTGACATGATGATGAGGCTGCAGGTGAGAAGATATACAGGTGAGTCTTCAGTGTCAAAACACCTGACACACGCATTCATCAAAATTCTCCAAAAAAAAAAAAAAAGCCTGGCATATGAAATAATAATCAGAAAGTTTTATATATTTTTTTATTCTGTTAACATCAAAGGTAAATCTATTAAGTCTCCATAACAGTAACAGTGCCACTTTCTATCTACCAATAATATGCCTTATTAGGATAGGGTTTTAAATGTTTAGTTTTACAAGCTCTGTAGTTTCTATTACGGGGGACAAAACATATAATGCAATGCAATACAATTATTATTGGGCACTCTGAGAAATAAAGGTACAAAAGCCTTTTCAAAAGGTACACTTTTGTAGATTAGCTAATACCAATATGGACCGTTTAGGTACCAAGGTGTAGCTTTTAAAAGGTTACCGCCCCAGTGACAGCTTCTGTACCTTTTCCTGAGCGAGAGATAAACGAATACATGTACATCTATGATATCTGATACTCACACTTGAGTTAAAAATATTGATGACCAAGTAAACCTAAGTTGCTTCAGTCCAGTAAGTGTTCATCTCGAAATATTAATAATAATACAAAACTTATATTTTATATGTTTACTTTATAAAAATCAGTAAAATAATCTAAGAAAAAAACAAGCTGAAGGTGGATGTTTGTGCAATTATAAAGAAAGAAAGAAGGTTTTAACAACAGCCTGATTGTCAAAAAGGATTATTTCTATTTACTGTATTTCTGGCCTGTTTAGACACAGGAGATATAATGACATAATGGCAAAGGTTTTTAAGAGGTTTTGTTAAAAAAGTCAAATGATGACATACAGCAACATGGCTCATAAATATACAGATTTAAATGTACTTACGGCATATTGAATTCTTGGTCACCTATCTGTCAAGATCATATGTGCCCAAATTGTGCATTTGATCTCAGAGACGAGTCGTATTGCCTGCAAACTTTCTGCATCATTGTGTCCAGTCAATTCAAACAAATTACAATCATAAAACAGGATGTTTCAGACGTTTGTCCTCAGTTACGTTACTGTCCTTAGACCAACCCATTCAATTAAACTCATTCACTGTAAACAAATGCCTGCATTCCTCTGATGTTTCTCCTTTTTTGGCCACGTATTAATGGTGTAAATACAGTACACACGCAGCGAGTGAAGCACGCAGTCAAAGAGCCTCGTGTTTCAGAGGAAGAACTGGAAGCAACGCAACTACAGAGGTTTCCTGATGAAAGCATTTCTACTGTGGCTGAATTGTTTTTCACATGTAACTAGTTGATAGTTAGCATATGCACATTTCTTGCAATGCGAGCTCAAGGTTTCTCCTCCACTTCCCAAACACATGATCTTATGGAGGTTTTGTATGACCAGTCACATCACTGGGTTGGATCGATCTTCACGGATTGGGAAAAGTGCTGCACAAATGCTAATTAAAAAGCAGTCCTTTTGAAGTCAAACACACTAATGTACACGAAGAGTCGTCCAACATTTGTGAGCTATTTGAACCATCCATAGACTATTTATCAGATCTGAACTGCACAAATACTAATATTTAACACTGCAGACCTTACAGTATTGCTCTCAATGCATTTATGAAAAGGTATTAGATAATACTGTGATAAAGTATACCATGGCACTACATGTCCAAAAAATAATATTTCTTTGGTACTGTAAGAAATTATAGTCTGCCTCGACCCAGCTTCCACTCCAAATTGTGTATTAAACTATGCTCCTTTCTCTACAAAGAGCTTAATTATCATATAGATAGTTCTTTCCGATCTTAATCATATGTAAATAGTACCTCCGGAGCGATAATTTGTCACTTATAGCGTGGGAGAAGCAGCAGGCCGTCAAGAACCATCTGCTGACCAAAAGGGTAGATGAAATAACTGCTATGGATTCTGTTTAATCTTTTCACCTTAACATTTGGTTGTTCCCACTTGAGTCTACCGAAGATGTGGGAACGGAAGGCTATCACTTTCATTGTCATCCGCAATTTACATTTAAAACGAAACTTAATTTACATGTTGAGCGGGAAGATGAACGTAATACTGTATAAAATGATTGAGCTTAGGATGTTCGGGGTTCAGTCTGACTCCGTTGAACCCAAGGTACTACATGTACTTTGTCACTACTATTCTGTAATAAAAGTTATTCTTCATCAAGATCTTCGACGTCTTCACTTTTTCTTACAGTGCCATGCCCAGAAAGACCATGGAAGTACCATTTGTATCTTTTGTACTTATATTGTATTGTAGATAAAGTATATCATGCTTGTATTTTGGTCATCGGTGAAGAGTATTGGATATTGAGATCTAAATAAATTGACAGTGTGAGTGTGGAAAGGTCAAAGGTCATGTTAAACCTGTATGAAACAGACAGAATCAAGTAGACAATGCAGGGTCTTTGATGAAGTGGTGGGACGCTGTGAGGTGCTGACAGAGTTTATGAAGTGTTTACAGAATCTGATACTGTGGGTGGGTTTGACACCCGAGCAACAGAGCAGCTGTCGACAGGACCGGCCCAATCACCCGCTTCACATATCATACTGACTGCAGCCACAGGAGGACGCATGCTAACTGTGCTGAAACCTGTCCTTTCTAGATGTTCTGTTTGAACACATTCCTCACTCCCGATTCTAATGCGAAACATTGTCATACATATGTGTGTATGCATGTATGTGTTATTGTTATTAACATATATGTGACCCTGGACCACAAAACCAGTCATAAGGGTCCATTTTTCAAAATTGAGATGTATACATCATCTTTAAGCTCTCCATTGATGTATGGTTTGTTAGGATAGGACAATATTTGGCTGAGATACAACTATTTGAAAATCTGGAATCTGAGGGTGCACAAAAATCTAAATATTGAGAAAATCATCTTTAAAGTTGTCCAAATGAAGTTCTTAGCAATGCATATTACTAATCAAAAATTAAGTTTTGATATATTTACAGTAGGACATTTACAAAATATCTTCATGGAACATGATCTTTACTTAATATCCTAATGATTTTTGGCATTAAATAAAAATCTATAATTTTGACCCATACAATGTATTGTTGGCTATTTCTACAAATATACCCCAGCGACTTAAGACTGCTTTTGTGCTCCAGGGTCACAAATATCTGATCTGGTAGTGATGGTCCTAAAATAGGCCTCATTTTCAAAAAAAAAAAAAAGTACGGCGTGAAATATGACCCAAATATGCCTTTTTGAGATTCATACAAAATATTTAACCTTCAAATGAGGCGTCAGTGGTTTTATACTGTTTTACAAATGTTGTATTCATTTTTTGGGGGGGGTGAATTATTCATTTATTGATATTTAATATTGTGAAATATTTGTACAATTTAAAGTAACTGTTTTCTACTGTAATAAATTGTAAAAATGTAATGTATTTCTGTGATGCACAGCTGTATTTCCAGCATCATAACTCCAGTCTTCAGTGTCACATGATTTTCAGAAATCATAATAATATGCTGATTTATTGTCAGTGTTGGGAACAGTTGTGCGGCAGGACACTTTGATTAGTAAAAAAAAGCTTTACATTTATTTGAAATAGAAATCTTTTATAGATGTCTTTACTATCACTTTTGATCAATTAATGCATCCTTGCTAAAGTATTAATTTGTCTTTCAAAAAAAAAAAAACCTTACTGACCTCAGAATTTTGAACTGTAGTATATAATAGTGCATACATACCATCTCAAACAAGGAGTGAATGAGAGATGCGTTGAATCTTTAATGATTTGTGTGTCACTCACGTCTGTGGCCTTCTTCTCGGCCTGCTCGAGTTTCTCCTGAGCGTCCTTCAGTGATTCGGAGTATTTGTCCAGCTCGTCCTCCACACCCTTCAGCTTCTTCTGCAGGCCCAAGAGCTCCTCTTCCAGCTGCACACACAAACACGCACATTAAGCACTGGAAATACAGGCAAATGATGCCATAAAGGATATAGGAAACTGTTTTGACTAGCTTTATTCGAAAGGATTTATTTGAGCAGGTTCTCGATGCTTGATTTGAATACTACAGAAAGAGTAGTGAAGGATAAAGTCAGGGTAGAAATTCTTTTAGAAACTTTTGTTTCTCCATATTTTGGAAGATCGCTACTCGTCAAGTAATGTGTCCACCATTCCTACACTGATGATAAATGATGATGTGTAAATCCCGGCTCATTTAGGGGAGGGCATGAGGAGACAATTATAAACAGCAAAGTTATGTTAAAGCAGAGAGTTGCAGCAGCTGCTGGTCACCCCCATCCACCCCATTAACACACGTCAAGTAAACCACCACACATAGCTTAGTGTCATAAACCAGCCTCTATTTATTGTGAGCCAGCGGGACAGTCGGCTGCTGTATATGGAAACGAGATAATGCCGGCTGCAAAAATAGAGCCCACTTTGGCCAGCTCATAAACTGAGAAGTGTAAAATAGCTACGGTGGATGACAGAACAAGTGAACGGGTTCAAAGCAATGCACTCCTGACAGATGCCTTCCCGGGACAGTTATGAGAAGCATCGCGGCTTTGGCGTCAAACGCAGCCCGGTGGCTCCAGATGGTACAAAGCCTTGATCCTGATATGTTGAACAACTGCATGAAGGTGGAGCGGGACAAAAAAAGATCAAGGACAGCATGTGTGGTGACCAACAGGGGTGCAATAACAAAGGCCTTGGGACAAGAATAGATGGAGTTGGGTCATCAGAACAGGCTTTCAAGAAATAACATGATTTAATCTTTGTTAAAAACCAAAAGTGCATTAAATCAGTTACAGAAGCATATAAACTTGGAGAAAGGATAAATGAGATATACAGAGATTCAAAAATTAAATGGAATTAATGTCTGTAACTATCATATTACACGTGCTCCGACAAAACTGTTTCACATGCTTTTTCTCCCATGGGAAAGCCAGCTGCTCTTCCATTATGGAGAGCGGCAGTGTCCTCAGTGAAGAAGCCTTCATTAAGATGGCTTTTAGTGAAACGGAGAACTGTTATATCTGACATTGCCTATTAATTATTGAGGACGACAAGAGTGGCAATAAAAGATCAACAGGAATAATTCATTCATCACGGTCAACAAATAAATCTAAAGTGACAGGCCTGCTTGTGCTGTTATTTGTGCCACATTTAATCAAACGGTGGAAAATGTTGTTCCTGTCAGCCTGGGCCTCTTAATGAAATGGTTGTTATCAAGTATACCTACTTAAATATACTAACATATTTACACTACTATATTTGGCATGGGACACTTCAGTTAGTCCTGATTGATGGGTCTTAAGGAACAAGACTAAAAATAGTTCAACTCATCAGAGATGTTGGAACCTAAACTGGGATTAATCATCAGTTTTTGGAGTTGAAGACACTGAGCAGATGATTACTGATGATTCATACACACTACATATACAGGAAAGGTCAAATGATACCATTTCTGTACTTAGTACTCAGGGAAAAAACACCTTACTTATATTTATATCACTGCTTAGGCAATTTTCCTCATACTTTTTCTAGTCCGCTTTTCCCAGTTTAACAGAGAGTTCAATTAGACAGATGGAAAAAAACAGAAACATGGATGGACCTACAGAAAAAAGTCTAGTCTGATAACCTGTTTTCAGTTCACCAGATTCAATCCATTTACCTGTTTGCATTTGTCCTCTGCACCTTTCTTGTCTATCTCGGACTGTTCTGCACGATCTATAGCATTCTCCTTGTCTAGCTTCAGCATCTGCATTTTCTTCTTGATGGCCTCCATGGTTGATTTTTTGGGTTTCTGCTAGCAGCCGAGGAGAAAGAGGAGAGCTTGTTCAGAGAGTGGAGGCAGAGACGAACAAAGCTGAGTGCACAGCAGAGAGGCGGCTGGAATCCTCTCCAGAGGAACGCTGGTCTTTTTTGGAAACTTCTCTAAAGTCTCTGGGAGAGTGACGTCCCCCTGCTCTGATTCGTTCTGCTGAATGGGCTCTGCATTTGACCCTGTTATTTTGTCCATGTTTGGGAGGCTCTGAATCCTCATTCTCCAGTTATACTTAAAAAGATCTGAGGTCAGGATTATTCAAGCGCCCTGGGAAAAAAAACAACAACTGATGTACATTAACTACATTAAACACTCTGTCTATAGAGTTTCTTTAACTTAAATTTCATCATGATTTTTATAAGCAGCATCTCTACGATATGCTGTATGACTTATGACTTAAAGGTAATGTTCTCAAAAACCACTTTCACTGCCTGGACAATGATTTCCTCTTCCCACCGATTTCAGTCATATAATTTGCCTACTGTGTTCAATGGTGCGTTATATTGATATTGTGATGGTTTTTGAATGCTAGTACTTTCTTTACAAACACATGGCATAAAATGCTAAATTTGTGTTTGCAGTTTTTGAAAGAACAAAAAATAGATTTAAGTGTCAAGGCAAATGAGAAATACTGCTTGGTCATATTCTAAGGATTTTCAAGCTTGCAGTTATTAAACCACTTGTAAAGAAGGCAGAACTTCGTTTTGGTTAATTGTAGAACCATCTCAAAACTTTGATTTATGTCAAAAACACTAGAAGATTACATTAGCATTTGTGGGCAGGCATGTTCAGATTCTCAGATCAGTACCATTTTGTGTGTAAATGAGGAATTGTCAAACATAAAACAAGTTAAGTATATGGGGTACCACAAGGCTCAGTCTTAGGTCCTCATGTATTCATTGTTCATGCTCCCTTTACGTAATGTTATCATGAAACAAAGCTTTCATTGTTATGCTGATGACAGTTAGCTTTACATTTGTTTGTTTGTTTATTTGTGTAGCACATTTAAAAACTTATTAGGTTGGCCAAAGTGCTTTCCAATAAAAACACCATTTAGAAAAACAAGACGACAAAAAAACAAAAACAACATTTCACATAAAAACATTTAAAACTCAAGACAAACAAAATATTCAATAACAAGCTCGACCAAATGCTTGGGCAAGTAGATGCCCTTTTAAACGAGATTTAAAATGACCCAGTGTCATACAGCATCTGATCTCCAGGGGCAGGTTATTCCAAAGACGGTGTGCCGCAACAGAAAAAGCACAGTCCCCTTTAGACTTAAGCAAGATTTAGGGACCTTTAACAGCAATTTTTGTGAAGACCTTAATGGCCGAGTCATAGAGTGAAATTGAATCATATCTGAAATGTATTCAGGTGCTAGGCCATGCAAAGCTTTAAAAACATACAATAAAACCTTAAACTGGACACTAAAGTTGACTGTTAGCCACTGCAACGAGGCTAACATAGGGGAAACACTGACCTGCTTCTTAGTCCCAGTCAGAAGCCTACAGTAGTTGCTGCATTTTGTAAAAGACGATTCAACAAAACAGCAGGAAGCCCCAGGTACAGTTACAGTCTTGACATGATAAAATCCTGCATAACCTGTTTCAAATCAGCAAGCGATAGGAATTGTTTTATTTTTGAAATATTTCTTAAATGAAAGTAACCAGCCTTAACCACCGAGTTTACCTGCTTATCCATTTTAAACTCAGAGTCAAAGACCACTCCCAGGTTTCTTACTTGCTTCTGCACATTTTAACATGTGCACAGATGGCCTAATAGAACCAATTATTAGGCATTCTGTTTTTGCCTCATTTAATTTTAAGTTCTTTAATTGTAAATTCTGTGCCATCCAATAATTTAATCTCATACAGGCAGTTCATCAGATCATTTAATCCATCATCTGTTTTCAATGGAAGGTACAATTGTGCATCGTCTACACAATGATATCCAATATTATATTTCTGACAGATAGAACCAAACAGAAGCATGTATATAGAAAATAGAATGGGCCCCAAAATTAGTGACGTCCCCCTGCTCTGATTCGTTCTGCTGAATGGGCTCTGCATTTGACCCTGTTATTTTGTCCATGTTTGGGAGGCTCTGAATCCTCATTCTCCAGTTATACTTAAAAAGATCTGAGGTCAGGATTATTCAAGCGCCCTGGGAAAAAAAACAACAACTGATGTACATTAACTACATTAAACACTCTGTCTATAGAGTTTCTTTAACTTAAATTTCATCATGATTTTTATAAGCAGCATCTCTACGATATGCTGTATGACTTATGACTTAAAGGTAATGTTCTCAAAAACCACTTTCACTGCCTGGACAATGATTTCCTCTTCCCACCGATTTCAGTCATATAATTTGCCTACTGTGTTCAATGGTGCGTTATATTGATATTGTGATGGTTTTTGAATGCTAGTACTTTCTTTACAAACACATGGCATAAAATGCTAAATTTGTGTTTGCAGTTTTTGAAAGAACAAAAAATAGATTTAAGTGTCAAGGCAAATGAGAAATACTGCTTGGTCATATTCTAAGGATTTTCAAGCTTGCAGTTATTAAACCACTTGTAAAGAAGGCAGAACTTCGTTTTGGTTAATTGTAGAACCATCTCAAAACTTTGATTTATGTCAAAAACACTAGAAGATTACATTAGCATTTGTGGGCAGGCATGTTCAGATTCTCAGATCAGTACCATTTTGTGTGTAAATGAGGAATTGTCAAACATAAAACAAGTTAAGTATATGGGGTACCACAAGGCTCAGTCTTAGGTCCTCATGTATTCATTGTTCATGCTCCCTTTACGTAATGTTATCATGAAACAAAGCTTTCATTGTTATGCTGATGACAGTTAGCTTTACATTTGTTTGTTTGTTTATTTGTGTAGCACATTTAAAAACTTATTAGGTTGGCCAAAGTGCTTTCCAATAAAAACACCATTTAGAAAAACAAGACGACAAAAAAACAAAAACAACATTTCACATAAAAACATTTAAAACTCAAGACAAACAAAATATTCAATAACAAGCTCGACCAAATGCTTGGGCAAGTAGATGCCCTTTTAAACGAGATTTAAAATGACCCAGTGTCATACAGCATCTGATCTCCAGGGGCAGGTTATTCCAAAGACGGTGTGCCGCAACAGAAAAAGCACAGTCCCCTTTAGACTTAAGCAAGATTTAGGGACCTTTAACAGCAATTTTTGTGAAGACCTTAATGGCCGAGTCATAGAGTGAAATTGAATCATATCTGAAATGTATTCAGGTGCTAGGCCATGCAAAGCTTTAAAAACATACAATAAAACCTTAAACTGGACACTAAAGTTGACTGTTAGCCACTGCAACGAGGCTAACATAGGGGAAACACTGACCTGCTTCTTAGTCCCAGTCAGAAGCCTACAGTAGTTGCTGCATTTTGTAAAAGACGATTCAACAAAACAGCAGGAAGCCCCAGGTACAGTTACAGTCTTGACATGATAAAATCCTGCATAACCTGTTTCAAATCAGCAAGCGATAGGAATTGTTTTATTTTTGAAATATTTCTTAAATGAAAGTAACCAGCCTTAACCACCGAGTTTACCTGCTTATCCATTTTAAACTCAGAGTCAAAGACCACTCCCAGGTTTCTTACTTGCTTCTGCACATTTTAACATGTGCACAGATGGCCTAATAGAACCAATTATTAGGCATTCTGTTTTTGCCTCATTTAATTTTAAGTTCTTTAATTGTAAATTCTGTGCCATCCAATAATTTAATCTCATACAGGCAGTTCATCAGATCATTTAATCCATCATCTGTTTTCAATGGAAGGTACAATTGTGCATCGTCTACACAATGATATCCAATATTATATTTCTGACAGATAGAACCAAACAGAAGCATGTATATAGAAAATAGAATGGGCCCCAAAATTGATCCCTGGGGAACCCCACAAAAACAAACTGCAGAATCAGAGAAATTATTTCCCAATTGAATTACAGAACTTCTGTCCTTTAAATAAGAACAGAACCATTTAAGAACATTTCCCTGAATTACTGCCATTGTCTTAATCGCGTTAAAAGAATATAGTGATCAATTGTGTCAAATCAAATACTGCTGTAAGATCAAGGAGAATCAAAATTGCACCCTTTCCTGAGTCGGCTGCAAGCATCAAGTCATTCTTTACTTTTAAAAGGGCAGTTTCAGTACTGTATTTTGACCTAAAACCAGACTCAAATTTATAAAAAAACGATTTTTTATATATATATATATATATATATACATATAAAAAAAGATCAGCTGATGATAAACAGCCTTCTCTAATATTTTTGATAAAAAAAGAAAACTTAAAAATCTGATGGCAATTATTTAAACAAGTGTAGGTTTTTTTTGAAAAGAGGGTGTATTACCGCATGCTTTAGGCAGGATGGAACTATAGCATTGGCTGGACTACTATTTATAATTATAATACATACAATAGTTGGGCCAACAACATCTAGAAGAAGATGAGATGGAATGACATCTAAGACACAGTTTGTAAGTTTTAAACCGTGAACTATATCTACTTAATTTGAAAGTGAGAGAGGATTTTACATGCAGTATCAAGATAAAATTAAGCTTTCTTTTAAAATTTGTGCCAAAAAAAGAAGAATAATTGACGCAAAATTTTTTAAACATAAGCTGTAAGCATGTAATTTATGATAATATGATTGCTGTTACCTTCTCTACAGTGTCACACTTGGCAGCAAATTGTTTTTTAAAACCACTTTTCCAATTTTGTAGAAAGCATTCTTCTACTACTGGAATATTTCTGTTACCGTTTCTTTGTCCCTGATAGAGAAAGCTAGTTCATGGGTTATCACCGGAAGACTGGATTTTTGTAATGTACAGTGCAGGCTGGATGTCCCACCGTCTCCATAAACAAGCTGCATGTGGTTCAAATGAAGCAGTTCTTATAGAAATTCTGATCATATCATATCATTTCAATTTTAGAATAGCACCACAGGAGGACGTGGAGACATTCATATATGGCTCCTAAACTTTGGAATAACTTTCCTGGTAATGTTTTGAACTCAGATACACTCTCAGTTTAAGTCTAGATTAAATACGAATCTCTGTAGCTAAGCAAATAATTATTCACCTTGATATTTGAATGCACATGAAGTACGGATATTTTAAGTATGACAAAATGTTAATAAATTATGTTATTAGTGTTACTGGCCTATGCAAGTAAACACTAAGCCCTCCAACACCAGCATCTTTGTAAAAACACACAAAAAAAACACAAATGCAATAGGAGATATTTGCAAAACAGTGAATTTATGAGTTTTTAGTTAAACACATTGACTAAGTGAGTTTGCTTATTTTAGGTGAGAAACTGATAACAGATAAATACACAATTATAAAATATAAAAGCTGGCAAGATTCAGAATATACTGAATGCAACAGGAAAGGCAGTAACGGTGAAAACTTAAACTGTTTATGTATTTGATCTATTAATAACAGTCTTTATAATTTCTTAAAAACAGTTCTTTATAATAACTGATTATTATTTGATAAACAACCATGGTAATAACCAATTCTTGTTACAAATCTTTTTTTATCTAATATTGTCTTGTCTACATCTGTGTGGGCATTACATCAGTAAATTACAACAGTAAATTGTTGTACAACAGCAAGAAAAAAAAAAAGAAAAAACATTATAAAAGCAAAAATGGAAATATGGCTTTTATGCTTTATAAAAGATATAATTTTGATAAAAATACCAGTAGACCAAGTTGTCACAAAAGCAAACATTTATGCTGCAAAAACATTAACAGGAGGATACTATTTGTAACATTTCAAAGCTTTATTATTCTTTTATTTAGAAAATGATGTTTTCTCTATGAATTGTTTAAACGCAAAGTTAATCATTGCACCACTGGTCCAAATTGCCACAAAAAAAAAAAAAGGAAAAAATTGTAACACC